CCTGACCATGACCGTGAAGTGACCCTCATCTATTTTGGATTTATCAAATCATCAAAGGCTCCTGCTCCTGCCAATAAGACTTGGAACAGGCGATTCAAAGAGGTCATTATATAATGACCAGCTGCCTGAGCCAACTGAGGCAGAAAATACTGCCTACTGGGAACTGGGGCTCTTCCTGAGGGAAGAGGAGCCCCCAGGAGCCAAGGGGACACAGAACAGCTGGTGTCCTCTTCTACCAGGGTGCTGACCCACCACATCTGAGAGGAGGGCACCCAGTGACTGTGGCAGCCATCAACCAGCCGGGGACCATCAGGCAAGGGGAATGAATCACACCTGGGGTCTGTGCAGGAAGATCTTTTGGGATCAGGAGGAAGCAGGGATGGGGATCTGACTGGAACATAGGTCTGAGATCCCTCCAGAAAATCCCATCAGGAAGTCAAGACAGAAAGACTCTAAGCAACTCTCAACATTTCTCAGTCAGGAGTGGGGACCTGTAGTGAAAAGGAACTCTGTATCCATAGGCAGGTCATGGATGGGTGATAATAGCAACAGAGGCATTTGGATGCTCTTATGGCCCTGACAGTATCCTTCCCCTTTTAAAGGACAGTAAATACTGAGGTTAACCAGCCAGCTTCCACAACAGTTTCTTATTGTACACACACCAGGGCACAGATAATCACAAACATCTGGAGGGTAGCAACTCTACTCAGCCACCTAACACATCATACTAAATCAAATACCAGATATCAACCACAGTGTCAAAAACAGACATTAAAGCAAAGAAAGGTCATTCAGCCTTCACAATTTTATTAAAAAAAAAAATCCTGGATCCCCAAGATCTAGCAATACAACATTTTGCCATAGAAAATCCATAGCCCACTTACAAAGTGGCAAAGATGCCGGAGCTGAAACCATGCATATTGTCAATGTCAATACCAATTGACAATGTCAAAATGACAGTGTGGAACACAGAGGAGGTACATTTACTCAGTAACCTATCAGGAGTGATACATATGAATTATGTTGTGAAACAAGAGGTTAGCAGTGAAAAAAACTAGCTGATAAAGAAGCATTGTAGCAGTTTATTAGAAATGTGGGCTGTGTTAAAATCCTTGTTGGAATTACAAATGGAACAGTTTCTATAGCTATAAGAGAGAAATGAAAGCAGATGATTGCACAGAAAAGACTCTTTATGGAGTGCTCAGGCACTAAGAACTTCTCAGCCAACAGTCCTTTTCTGCTTGAGTGCTATTTCCAAGTGCTTTATATTTTGCTCTCAGAGACATACACAATCAAAGCCTGGAGTTAAGATGATGGTGCCACATCAGGCAAGTAGCTAAAGGTAGTTTTCAATCCTTCTTTTCCAAAATGTATTGATCATCTAGTATACCAAATATTCATCACAAACAACTCTGAAAATAAATAAATACATGGCAAAATCTGCAATTAGCTTGGGCAACAGACTATGAAAAGTGCAAATTTCCTATAAAATCAGGACCAATGCTGTCACTGTGGAGGAAGGGTGAGACTGCCTGGAGCAGGTAACTCTGCAGGCTTGACTGCTCCCCAGTCTCTGTTCTGCATCTATCCCTCATTCCTCACCCTCCCTTGCCCATCCTTTCTCTCTCTTCAGAAGCCACCTGTCCTCCCAGGGGCAAATCCTGCTGTGACTGGTGCTGTCCAGAAGACCAGAGCAGGTTCTTGGAGTGACAGGCAAGAGCCACTACACTAAGTTTGGTGGAAATCTGCTGATGCAAAAGCAGCCTTCAGTGATGCCACGCAGCATGCCGCTGTAGCTCCAGTAATAACTGACTTGGCAAATTTCTTTTCCAGACAATCTAGCTCAAAAATGGCAAACAGACTCTTTTTCTGTGTTGTTTACCTGGTAGGAGGCAGGGAATAAATGAAGCATGCATGTGCATGTGCACAACTTTCGTATATTGGGAAAGTTACCTGTCCTTCACTTTCTCATTTATTAAACTCTTACTTTGACAGGTTCTTGCACACATGCTTGGACAATTTTTAGAAGTATCATCAATCTAAGTACAGCTGAGTTGCTCTCTCACCTCCCTATTCAGACTTTGACTGAACAGTTGCTTTTAATAAATGAGTGATATGGCTGGGTGTTATCAACCTACTGTAACATTTAATAGATATTCATAACATGTATTAATCATGAGCAAGTTTACAAAGGATGAAATCCTGCAAGGTGTGGAGAACACTCGATTCTCCTTGAAGTCAGTGAAAGCAGAAAGGGTGAGATTTTTGTCCTTCAGGTTCTGCATTACAAATGCCAAGTCTTCCTTCAGGACCTTAAAAAAGTGCAGTTTTCTGAAGCACTGCACGTGCCATTTGGTCAGTTTGTTTTACCAGTACCCTGTTCTTTGTGGACAGAAAGATCTATTTTTGTTTTAAAAGTTGCACTACAAACAAAAGCCTTCCATCAAATTTATCCCAGGTAAACAAGTCTGCTCTTTAGCAGAACTTTCTGCATTTTCCCTATTTGCTTTGAATCACAGCAGTACTGCTTGGCCTGTAAAGACCTATATAGAAAATGGCAGTGTTCACATTCCTTTCCACGTGCAGAACTCAGAAAAACTTCATGAATTAAACTAATGTATGTAAAAATTACATACAATAAAGTACATAAGAACAATAACACAATAACGCAGCTTCCCAAGGTCTAGCAACCTATGAAAGTGAAATAGAGAATTACAATCAAGATTAATGGGAGACAACCAGAATGAATTTCAAACAGTTTTATTTCAAATGCATGTGGGATCCTGTTCATCATTTATATGAGATTATCAAATCTAACCTCATTACTGTTATTTCTTCCCTATACTGGGATTTTAAAAATAAAGTTCCAATTCCTAACATAAAATAGTAGGGAAAGAAAATAAGAATGTTTAGTTCCAATAAAATACTGTTTGTTGAGATTTTTTTTCATAACAGGAAGATGGCACAGCTGCAATACACATAACTGTTCACTAGATATCCACCAATTTGTCTGGTTTGTTTATAGACATATTCTTGTCCTGACAGCTGTTCAGCCACTTCTTGGCATCGTATTGTAATGTTAGATATTCCACAAAAGATTACAAAAGATGCCATCCAAATTCTGTATACCACAGAGGATAATGTTCTTTTCCTCCAAACAGTATCCCAGTTCTGTAGTTCATTTCCACCTTGAAAAAAAGTGATTTTCATTACCATCTGCAGACCTGCAGCTTGGGTGTGGTAGTCTGCTCCTTCACTTTCAAACTGAAAAGGTTACAGGTAAGGTGCTTTTCTGAAAGAATTTAATCATGATAAGAAGTATATGCTCTCTCTTACACCATCAGAGTTAGTCAAAAATCACTGGGAAGCAATTGTTTTGTCTTAGGAATGGCACTCCCCAATTTAGTACCTTCTCCACCCCCCAGATAGGACTCTGAAACCAGACACCACCTGCTTGCTCCCCACCCCATGCCCTCGCCCTTTCCACTCAGGGAAAAGAGTTCAGAATTGGAGGCACAAAAAAGTGAAATTTACAGGCTGACATAAGAGCAATTTACAGGAAACAGCAATAAGATGAGATAATGAACAGTAACATCAACAACATTAATAACAAAAGATATAAGAAAAAGAAACAACTTGCGCAGAAAAATCACAACAAAATGCCAACCTTTGCCCCCCAAAATGCCAGTTCCTTGCAAGTGCAAGATAGCATCAAACAAGATTATGCCCCTCCTGGTTACTACTAAAATACTAACTCTGTCCTGCCCAAAACTAGTTCACCAACACAGCTGTTTACTTTTCCAGAGAGCAGAAGGTTAAACCTAAAACTAGGTGCAAGCCTAGGAATGGAATATTTGGGCACCTGAAGGAGGTTACATTATGACCCCTGACCAGTGTGACTAATTATATTCAAAAGCATTTTACTTTTGCTTTTTCTGTAATTATACTTTGGGATCTATGTTATAATTGTTTTGCTTCCATAGCTCATGATGAAATGTCAAATTAGATGGTACTGTAAACTGGCAGAATATTTAACAGCCATAAAAATTGTCTTCACCCTCTTCTGGCTTCTATATGTAAATGTCTCCTTGTCTTCTTCAACATAATCTAGGCTATTTTAGGGGTTCTTTACCTCTGGACATACTTTCAAATCTCATTATGCAAATCCAGTATGTGACACATAAGCAAAAAAAAAAATATATTCAAGTTATTAAATGCAAAACCTGAATTCTTTTCAAGAAAGAGTTAGATACCCAGTAATAGAAATTAGAACTGTTAGCTGAGAATCAGTTTTCCAGCTGTCAGTTTAACAAACAACAATGAAAGTTTTTTTAATCAATTTAGTTGGCCACCTGATGTTTCCTTCAACAAGAGGCATTCTTCCCATGACAGTTTATTGGGAGGAGGCACAACAAACCCCATATACATGGTCAGAATGCTGTAACAGGGCACATCCTGCTAGCAACAGCCCCTGGAAGATCCAGCCCTGATGCCTTGCAAAGGGGTCAAGCAGGAAGTAGAAGTTATCCAGTGCTGAGTGAGAAGAGGAAATGGGGGAACTATAGTCACAGTGAGCAGAAAAAAAAAACAGATGGTGCCAGTAGGCTGTAGGATTGTTGATTTTGGTTTGTAATTACAACTGGCAATCATTTTGAACCACTGCTGCTTTTTTTAATTATTCCACTTTGATTGCAATTACCAGCCAAAATCAACAATCCTACTAATAGAGCTCAGAGTCTTCTGATGAAATGGTTAAACTCCCAAGGGTTTGCAACCAGGCCTCACAAACCTGAAATTTAACAGGAAAACTTATTAACAAGAAAACTTTTTGGATCATAAATTGTATGCCAATGTATTCATAGCCTAGAACCATGAGAGTAAGAAGGTTACAGTGAGGACAGTCAAAACTTTCATTTGGAAGCTGAATTACAGTCAGCAAAGGCAACACTTACCGAAGTGCAGACAATTTCATGCACATTTTGCTGTAGAGCATAGTTTAAGGCAAATGAGTGTCTCAGGATGAACCAAAGTCTGATGTTCTCCAAAGCAGTGAAATTTTTTTAAAATATCATGTTGACTTCTAACTCATTGGAAACTTCACCATGTATGCACTAAAATTCATCAAATTTCTTAAGCATTTGCAAATGGGGCAGGGGTATTTTGAAGTCTACCTACCAGGCTGAGCCAGCACCACCGACTCACAGGATGCAAAAAATCCATTTTGAGTATGTCAGTGGTGATCGTCAGCACATAAGTAGAAATCAAGACAAATTAATCTCTTTTTCCTGCTAAATAACATCTTTCATCTCACGCTTGCTCTTGTGAAGGAATCTCATCTTGAAAAGAAAACAAAAACAGACTCAGCAAAAAAGTTATAGAAAATAATATTGAAATTACCTCAAGAGTAAATCTAATCCTTCTCCTCACTGAACTATACCCAAGCCATGCCTGACAGACAAGTTACTCAGATGGAGATTCCACAATCTTTCACAGATGGTGCTAAAGTTTTTCTGTCTTTGTTCTCATTATATTATTTCTAACTTTCAGCGGGAATTCTCATTACGCCAGTTAAAGCCTGTTATTTCCCGTTCTATCAGGAGAATGTGAAAGGAACAGTTTTCCACCCTCCTTTAAGTTGTGCAAAGACTGTTATATTTCCTGCTAATGTTTTTCTTTCTTTACTTAACCATCCCAATTTCTTAAGCCTTTCTTAATAAATCACATTTTCTGCTCCTACAATTGTTGTTTTCAGCAATCTCTCCAGTTGAGCCAGGTATTTGTAAAAAGTTAGTACTCAAAACTGGGCATAATATTCCAAATGAACCTTTACCAAAACTTAATAGACCAGAAGATGATTTCAAATACCCTACAGGTAATACTCTTGTGTAGCTATCCTATTAACTCACAACAAAATTACTTTTTTCTTATCCTGTTCAGTAGGTGATTCACTGTGACGGGAGATTCAGCCTAACCTCTTATTCTCCAGTGAGGAGGATACTCAATTATCCAGCCTCTTATTCTCTCTCTCTGTGGATGTAAGAAGATTATTCCTGTCCAAGCATAATATCTAAAAATTCTTCTTGTTGAACTGCTGCCTTAGACTGCATCTTTAATATGTCAAACTCTTTCTCAAGACTAATCCTGTCCTACAGTATGCTCCTTAAATGCTGGTTTCTTATTAAAATTCACAAAAAAAATACTGAAAAGTGATAGTGAGCCTTTAAAATCTTTTTAAATGCAGTTTTCCAAACAGAGTGCAACTTAGTCTTATTATAATTAAATCTATAGAGTGCTTTCTTAGCTACCTTATGAAATGTCATGAGAGATAAAATCTGAATTTGTCAGGAGAAAGCAGCATGTCATAGCCAGTTTCTTTCCTATCTATAAGGGTATTTATTATTTAGTTCCAGAAAGAAATTAGATGACTGACAACCTGATTTTGGAAAATCAATAATGGCTGTTAATTCATCTCCTCATCATCCTCCAGATCTTTAAAGATACCTTGGATATTTGTTCCAGTATTACTGCAGAAGCTAAAGCCTAGCAGACAAAAGCATTAATTCAAACAGATGGTGTAAGAAGCACGAGGCATATCATGGTGCTTTGGAGCACAATTCTGGTCAGCTGGAGTGAGTAGGTGCACAACAGTCTGACTTGCAGCAGCCACTGGCATTTAGGGGTTGTAGTGGAGCTTGTGGTTGAAAACATTCACAAGAGGAATGAGAGCTGGGATCACGTCACATGCCAAGAAGAGCCACCATCAAAGACACCAGAAGAGCAGACAGCACTCTAATGTAAGTCACAGCACCATCTCCCTTCTCCTCATGTGCACTGGAGGTCAAACATAGACTGAAAAGTGGGGTGATGATGCATTCAGTGGCTTAGTACACCCTGCACCTTGTGAGACATCCCACCCTGTCATACCTACCTGCAGCTGCCCTTGCTGCACCTGCTGATGGCTGTCATCAAAGCCCCAGGCAGATGTAAAGGTGGACCAAATGGCTCCTTTACTCTCTATTTTCTTCTCAGTTCCTTGGTCTGTAAATAATGAAATCTCTCTCTCCACCATGCCTCTCCCTTTCTCTGAGCAATGCAATCGGAGCTGTGTCAGGGCAGCTAGTCCTTTCTTTGCTCTGATTGAATAATAATGAAAGGATGGGAAGCAGAGACTAGCAGCTTTTGAGATTAATCCCCCTTCTGTTCTCAGCTGTCAGACTTACTTATTTTTTCCTTTTTTCCGCTAAATCAGGTCATTATACTACAAATCTTTACTCTGAATGAAAGATTAAACTCAGGTATTTTATTTTCATCAGGGCATAATATTCAGCACAGAATAATTGGCTAGAGTTTCATCTGGATATTTGTATGGGGCCTCCTATCAAATTCCACTAAAACCTTACTGACTCTTTCAATTTTTTTTAAATTCCTTAGGATCTTACTGTAGTAGACTCCTGGCAAATGGAATCTTTCACTCAATTATACCTATCTCTGCATCTGAGATGTCATGTTTTCATGAAGCCCCTTTAAACAATCAAGAGAATTATAAAGTTTTCAGGGTTACCTTGTGATAAAAACAGTAATAGAAAAGAAAAAATCTGTAACCTAAGTGTCCTTGACACAGTATTTTCCTTCTACAATGAGGAGGAAAAAAAGAGGAAGGGAAAAAATATTAATAAATAAGAAAAGGTTTTAAGACTGAGGTTTTAACTGCTTTAAAGCCAACAATAAACTTACCACAATTAAACCAGAAGGCCAACAAGGCAGAAGGTCATCAAAGCCAAGGCTCATTGAGCCAGTTTGTTTGGATAGATGCCATTTCCACTTTGTCAGTACAAAGAGTGCTATATTGAACAGAGAGAACAGAGCTCATGCTGACATAAAATTAAAACCAAAAACCATCAGGTCTATTGTGGTGATCTCATGAGAAGCACACAGGTTTACATTAGTAAACTCTCTGGTGTGACTATTAGATCTACCTTGATGTTTCTTACTTTACTGATTACTTTATTGATAGTGTCTTTTTAAAAAAGACATTATCACAGAATGAATTTATTTTCTCAACTGAGAAAACCTGGCTTTGTGCCACTTCTGCTCTACCCAAAATCGACCCAACAGTAGCTTTGGGATTTAATTTAAACAGAGAGAGACAGAGCATGACAAAAGCATAGGGCATAACAACCCAACATGGGCCTCTACTAACACACAAATTTTTGCTGTTGCCACGAATCAAAATATTTCTAGACTTAGTCCTTCTATTCATGTTTTGCTTTGTTTTCTCTTAAAAAAATATTCTCAATTTAGAAGTAAAATACTACTATAAAATTCTTCTTAAAATCTAATAAAAGGCAATGGGGCTGGCAGATGTTTGTAGCCCTTGAAAAGTTATGCCTTATATTAATGCTTAAAAATATTTATGAAGCATTTCAGGTTATTTCTCCCAGAGGTATCAGAGTTTCATGATATAAAGGTCATGGGAAGAGTTCATATCTGAATAGGTCCTGCAAAGGCTATTTTGTTGATTCCTTTTCTCTTATGAATAGATAGCATTTCAGAGACATTTTTAGTATATGCAGTGCAGAGACAGGTTTAGTCCTTGTGCTCTATGATACAGGCAGTCCATTGACTTTGGGCAGGAGAATCCTAATGAGAATTGCCAGAAATACTGCTTGAATCAGCAGTGGCACTAACAAGTTTGAAAGGTACAAGGCAAGCAGTGTCCTCTGAATGTGGAAATTTATAACTCACCTCTTCTTCAGGTTACTCATGTCTTGTCTGATTAATATCCTTCTGGGTTTTTTTCAGTTTCCTCCTTTGGTTGAGCTTAGTTTCTCCTGCACGTACCACTGCTGGGAAAAAAAATATTCTATCAGGAGAAACATACAACTAGGAAACAGAACAAGTACAATGTCCCAGTGGCAGCAATGACAAAGTGTTGCTCAAAGGATGATGCTGGACAGAGGCTGGAGATTCAACCATGGCACCTCAAAGTCACTGCTCAGGTAGGACTGGGGAAAGCCTTCCACACAGACTACCAGCATGCATGATCCTAAAGAGCTAAACCAGCTTTTACATCCAAAGAAATGAGCGCCTTCATCACCAGTGAGTGAACCACAGAGGGGAATAAGTGAAGAAACCAGGATGGGGTCCTGAGCAACTGGGTCTAGTGGAAGGTGTCCCTGCCATGGCAGGAGGGCTGGAACAAGATGATTATAAGGCCCCTTTTAACCCAAATTATTCTATGATCTTATATTACTCTCAGCTGGCTAAAAGCCACCCAAGATGTCCTGAACCTGAATGAGCACTCTTTGGTTAGAGCAAGAGCAGGCTGCCCTGTTTTCATCCTGTAGGCATATCTATGGACAGCCATGACAAATTTAAATTCAATTGCAGTTTCCAATATACCCTAGAGAGTACTAGATTGCAGTGATATCAACAAACAGCCCACCAAACTCTGAAACCCTATAGAAACTTGTGGGATTTGACGACCTAAAAAACTTCCTTGCCTTTGAAGGCAGGAAGGCAAATATGATGCCACTATCAAAAATACTGAATCAAATTTAAATGCTACTGAAAACTTCATAAAAGTCAGTGAAGAAATCCTTTTTCTGTTTATTATTAATGTTTGCAAGATAACCTTTATTTATAGTGCCTTGGGGACTTATTCAATAGGATGTAGTGACACTGATGAGAAGGATTATTTATTGTTTATACAGTTGCTTAAAGATGAAGGCACTGCATAAATACTCTGGAAAGTATAATTCCATGAAAAAGCTCTTCATAATGCATCAAAATACTTCCTGCATTAAAGTTATTCTGGACTCACTCTTTGCACCACAAGCCACATTTGCAATACTCAGATGGCCTGACTGTATCCTTTATCACACAGTATCTGATATGCAGTCAGTGTAAGAAAATCAGTTTCTATCTGCTATTCCTGTAGTGCCAATAATCTGCAAGGCATATTGACATCTTCTGAAAACCAAGGAAACTGTGGGCTTCTTTGGTAGAATTTAAAAAAGAAAGTTTCAAAAAGTACATTAATGGGCCATAGAACTTGCATTCAGAAGTGATAAAATGGTATGATAAGGACTACATGAATAACAAAAACCCATTTTGTGTAAGCGCATTAAAATATACCAAGTTATTACTAGGTTGTGCATAAACTCAGAAATATCTCATGTAATAAAAGATACACTTTTGTCCATAATTTCCAAAACAAATGTAAAAAGGAACTTTATGCACACAAGAGGCAGGTCAGGCAATACAGAACATGCTGCAAAACCTCTGGTTATCACCTTCAACTCTTACTTTTTCACTGTTGTCACTGGTACCCCAATACACTGATCGCAGAATTTACACCAAGACCACCAACAATAATGATTTAGTGATCAGTTAGACGTATGAACTATTCATATGACTTGTAACAGTTCATGCCAGAAACCACTCACACTGGAAGCACCTGCTGTTTGCCCCATGAGCCCTTTTGTCTTGTGTTCTGTGTGTTAGGCTTCTGAGAAAATTTGGCTATTCAATTCCTTTATGTCTACTGAATATGAATTTTTATATATTTGAAAACTGTTATACCAAACACAACTGAAATCATTCTCCGTCATGTTTCTTTTCTCTTTAAGTTCCAGGTCCCAGGTTCCAACTTTTCCCAGAGGTAATGTGCAGTCTAAGCTAATTTTCAATGAATCAATAACCTCTAATCAATAGAGCATCTCTAGGGATTGATTTTAAACACCTAAAATAAATCTGTCTCAGGAGGCACCCATTCCTCTGTGTCCACTGCAGAGCTGGCTGGTCAGATCAGGCACTAAGCTACAGCAGCACTTAGCCCATAACCTATTACTGTTTCATAAACTAAAAATTTGGGAAGATGAAATGCTGTCTTTCTGAAGCCAGTAAATTATCCATAGAAGCATAAAATGTTTAGGAGTTCTTATGGATCTTAAAGATCATTTACTCCCAACCTCATTGCCATGTGCAGGGACATCTCCCACTTGACCAGGTTGCTCAAGGCTTTATCCAACCTGGCTTTGAACACCACCAGGGTTGGGGCATCTGCAACTTCCCTGGGTTCAGAGAGGTTTAGACCTGTTCCAGTGTCTAAACACACATCACAGTGAAAAATTTATTTATTTTTTTAATGGACAATTGAGAGAAAAAATGTCTTTATCTTGTGGATATCATGGAAACAGAACAAAGAGCCTTTTCAGCTTTTTCTGCAGATAGCAATCCTCAGTGATATAACTCCTCAGAAAATTTTGTATGCTGAAAAAGATTTTCCATTAAACTTTTCTGGGCAAATCCATCTGGGGTGTATTAAGACAAATCTAGTTATACTGATCTATTACTTCTGTCTGAGCACTTAGTTTTCTTCAATTTAAAAACAACGTAAGGGAGTAGGAAAATCTTTAAGCAATGAGACATGACATACTATACCATGCTGTACTGTTGATTAATGTGTATCCCAGGTGGATGGGGAGTGAGAAAAGTGCCTACACCATATGTGGTGAGTGCATTAATCAATATTAATGTGTATTAACAGGTACAGAGAGAGGGTACTGAAGAAGAGCTGGTTTTGGAACACAATCCTGCTGTGATGGCAATGGGGGATTGAATCTTGTTGACACGAGGAGTCAGACCGACTCTGAGATTGTGATCTTAGAAAAGCACATGCATTTGATGGACTCCACACCACAGGACGTTGCAAAAGCTAAAAGCTTACAAGGATCCAAGGAGAGGCAGGGCAAGTTCACAGATCAGAAATTTTTTCAGGCTGTAAACTCAAAGAGACATCTCCAGCTCAGAAAGTCTCTGAGCTACAATTGATTGGAAGCAGGGAGAGTGCCTAAGGAAGTATCAGGTACTGTGCACCCTATTTTTAGCCTATTTCCCAGATACCTCCTTTTGATGGCCATGAGGGACTGGGCAAAGAGCTAGAGAGCCGTGGAGTACCACCCCATTCAGTGCTCTTACTGTCTGGTGTTTATGTCCTAAATTCACAGCGTATAACGAGTCCCCATTAAGTCTGCGCAAGTTGTTGAACATTCAGAGTGGAGCAATGTGTGCAGCTGCATGCGTACCTCCACTCATCCACTGAACAGCATCGAGACTCAGGTAACTGCCTCACTGCAAACACTGGCAGGAATCCAGCATGCTCTTCTACCACAGATACCTGATACCACCAAACATGTGCTGCCAGTGATGCAGCATCTTCCTCGTCAAAGCTCAGGTGAGGCATGGAGCCCTGAGAGGTGCTGCCCACCTGAAGGTAGAAAACCAGCCAAGAGACACAAGTCAGTGCAGTACAGGACATATCAGGAACCCCACAGCACCACTACTCCAGACACAGGAGAGGACTGGGATTTTCAGGAATGAGGCAGCAGCTCTTGCTTCCTGCTGGGCTCAGAAACATCCCCATTTTCCACCCTGCCAGACAGAGACATTATAACACAACTGCCACATTAGGGAAACCAAAGAAACAACAATAACATATTGCTTATTGGAGCATAGTAACATGCCCCACAGCAGTCTCATTATAACTGGTAAACTTTTACCTAAGATACTGAATTAAACATCTTCTTTATTTATGGCCTCCTCTCTAGGCTCTCCGTTACTTCCAGCCCCTCCTACCAGCACAGGAACCAGACTGGTTCAACAGCCCAACAGTGCTGTCAACTGCCTACTTTCAAATTAAATTAAGCTTCTCTAATGTTTCTAATTTAATGAATTAATGCACATGACAAAAGCAAAGATTTTGGGTTGGCTTTTGTCTGATTCGTATAGTCCTGTGTTTCAAAATCTTTTTTGAGATGCTGAGGTGGCTTTTAAATTATAATTTCAACTGATAAGTTAACATATTTGAATGCTGATCCTTTTCCAGCACTATAATTTTGAATTTAAAGAACCTTCCATTTTAAAGGTGAAGAACTCTAAAAACTGCACACGGTAGTAAAACATCTCAGCTATGTTTCACCCTTTGTCTTCATTCTAGCAACATGAGGGAGCATCTGTAGCTTACATCCAGCTATTAGGATTGTGTTGATCAATAAAGACCTCACAACTTTACACTTCAGTTCCAAGCCTTAACTACTCAGTAGACAGCCTGTAATTTCAGCAAGGGAAGAGAGCACCTGCAGGTGTTGAATTAATGCACCATGAAAGCAGAACTCTGCTATGTTGCAATGGAGTTAAAATCAGGCTTCTCTGCTATTGCTGGCAGTATTCAGCTCCCAGTATATTTCTGACTTTGGATACATAGGCTACCCAGTAATTTTGTCACATCTTGAAAATAGAGCAGAGATAAAAATCCATTTAGAATCTTACAGCCATAGGTCACATTTACTAACAGACTATTGTGTTGTGAAAGGAGCCTGCTTCTCCAGTCCCACCACAGAAAGCTTCTTTTGTCTCACTAAACCTCCCAGAAAGGAACACAAAACCAAAAAAAAGTTGCTGATTTCGGTGGAAAAAAATGTAAATTGTGATGTTAACCAGAAAAATATCCTCAGTAAAAGCCAAACTTTAAGGAAAAATGTATTAAGAAAGAAGAGTGTTTTCATTATAATTTTTATTTTTTGATTTTAAAATCAGAGCTGAAACACTGTACTGAATATTTTCAATGCCACTGATCCCACTGACTTTGGATGAGAAAATTGACAGAGGCAGTGAAAAAAAGCCATCATCAATGCAGCTGTTTTTTAAGCAGACACCTGCTCAGCTATGCCTCTGTGGGTCACATCTAGTTGCCAGTCCATATGTGTGACATTTCTGAGGCCAGATTGCAGCTTCATCTCCCAGTACCTCAGTAAAGCTGAGAAAATTTAGATGTCTC